ACCCTGCCTCCAATACCCCTCATGGACAGAACACCCCTCCTACCTCTCCCACTCTGGCCTCCTCCCGGGAATCCCCTTCTCCTTCTCCTCTCTCCCCCTCCCATAACTCTTGTTCTGCTTCTAAACCTAGCTACAAATGTTTAGGTCTCTGTAAGTCTACCTGCTTTTCTAAATTTTTCAGAGAAAAATTTCTTCTTTATATCCCTTTATAAACATGCTTTCATTAACACTTTAGGTTTCCTAGTATCTTGTACTTTTTCTCTAAAGCTTTCTACTCCTTGCCATGTAGCTAGCTGCCTGCCATATGTCTGACCTCCCACAAGCTTTAAGCCTGCATGACTCCATGGCTTGCTTCCTTTCCCGCTATTCACTCCCTCAAGGCAGCTGACAAGATTGCCAGCTCACCTGCCCTGGGGATTTTTTTTCTTTAAGAGTTGAATAAAATGGTAAAAGTTTCTGGTTGGCCCATTCTTAAATTAAATTCTCTTATGAATGAGACTAAGAACCCTCTAGGGGACCCTTTCTCCCTTTTGACCAAGATAGGACCCCGAAATTCTAATAACTTGTTTATTTGATGGTCATGCAGAGATTTTCAAGCTCACACTGACTTTGGCTCTTAAGGGACCACAAGAACTTCCTTATCTATTTTGCTATCTTGCCTTGGGGCATTCAGGCTTAGGCAGAACAGCTGGGCTGTTTCAGTGGAACATTTAAAGACTTTCAGGCAGCTGGCCCCATGGACAAATGGAAAACGGAAAAAGATTTTAAAAGCCATTTTTTTTTCTCCTGAACTTTTTCTCAGGCAAAGGGGCTTGAAATTTTGATCTTAGGCCCTGGTGGGCACCAAGAAAGCTGTGCTCAGGCACCTACTTTTCTAATTAGACGTAACCATTTTAAATTTCAGAATACATGGAAAGTCACAGGTAGTGCTCGGGTGAGACATATGTTTTCAGAGCAACAACCCAGTGATTTATGTGCTGGACATAGTGTCCTGTTCCTTCTGCTGCCCTCATGAGTTTCTTTTCCACCATAGCCTGTATCTAGGAATGGAGAAATCTGAAGAACTTTGCTTCACATGTACAGCTACAAAGGTTAGTGAGAGGCATGGATTCCTTTAATTAGCTTTTTTATTTGAGGCATATATATATATCTGAGGGTACTTTCTTCTTTTATATCAAGTCTAACCTACCAGTACCAGGGGTGCCTAGGATAAACTCCAGACATTTAATCATATGTCCTAATTCTCTTGCAATTTATTTTTGTTTTAGTTTCTTGATGATGTCATAGAATAAGCAATGCATTTCTAGTTCAGACTAAGGGAGTAATGCCAAATCTCCACAATGGGAGTTTAGATTTTAACATTGTTTGGGCCTGTTTCTAAAGGGGATTACTTTGAGTTTTAACTTCCTGTACTGGTTTTTAAAGATGATTGTTTTAAGTTTTTTTATTTGTTTGTTAATGTTATTGTATCTCATGGTTATTAAGAAAGAAAATGGAAAGTTAAAAGATATTAGAATGATATGGGAATGCAGATATTTTCATCCGTATATTTCTTTAAGAGTTCAAGGGATTATACATTCCAGACATTAGACTTAAGTTCTTATGTTATTTAGACAATTATCTCTCACTGATGATTTTGTTCCTAATAAGACAATGCTACTCAGATGTAAGACTTCAAATCTTGGTCTGCAACACTGTAGTGACCACATTCATCAAGCTGCAATGTCACAATTAAGGGCAATACTGCTCTAACCTTGAAACTACTCTTTCTCTGTTCCTCCAAAATATATTCCTGCATCTCTCCACAGATTGAGGACATCTGCTCTCCAGTCATTCTCATACCCAAACTAACCCTATACACACTGGGAGAGGAAAAGAAGGAACCAGAACAAGGAGGTCAGCCATCTTAGCAATCCTAGTAAGAATTAGCCTGGTGACATCAGTAGCAGACACTGGACTCACAGCCAGAGGTTTGGGACACACACTGATCTCAACCAGCATCTCTCCCAGGAAATACAGGACCTCAGACAGGAACTCACCTCAACAATGGAAACTACAGTCTACTGTTGGAGGCATCATTCCTTTGGCAGGTGGTCCTGGGAAGCTGGCTCAGCATGAGACAGCAAGTTAGTCAGCAAGCATGGTTTCTACTTCATGTTCCTGCTTGAGTTCCTGCCCAGCTTCCCTCAGTGATGGACCTATAAGCTGAAGCAAACCTTTTCCTCCCTTCAGTTGCTTTTGGTCAGAGTGGGTGTTTTATTATAGCAGCAGGAAGGTTAACTAGACCAGAAATAGGCTGTCATAGCCTGCAACATTAGAAGAATTCAAACGTTCACTACATAGAAATAATATGAGGAGATGCTAAATTACCCTGATTTGATCACTATAATTGTGTATACACATTTCATTAAAAAAAGAGGTGATTTGTCCACAGTAAATTGCTGGGCAATCTTCTACTAGTAAAATGATCTAAAGTCTATCAATTCCCATAAATAATATAATGAAGATGAAATACTTTAAAAAGAAAATTTTAAGTTTAAAGACTTCAAGATGGCAAACTTTCCACATATATTTTATTCATGACTTTTGTCGCTTTAGAATTTCCTGTTTCCATTAATTTGCTACTTGCAGATCTATCTGAGACTATTAATCTTGACTTTAAAATAGTGAGAGCAGTGCTCACTTCCAAACTACAGTAAGGAAAGCCAACTATGTGGGGGAAGGCAAGGAGAAGCTCAAAAGACAAGCTGGAACCCTAACTGTGCGAGGTCCACCATTTCCTTAAACAAATTCAGGATGGCTGCTAACTAGCCATTCTACATGGTGTTATATTGTTACCACAAATCTATAAACAAAGTTCCCAGTCATAAAATTCCACATGAAATAGAAGCCAGAAGTCTCAGTTTTTAAAATTTTTTAGAGAAGTGTATCCTTGGCTGGCCTAGAACTCATTATGTAGAACAGGCTGACTTCTAACTTACAGCAATCTTCTCACTTCTCCCAAGAACTAGGATCACAGGGCTATGCTTCCACATCTAGCTTCAAAGTTTCTTAATAATGGACTTCTACCTTCTGAAAACATAGTTTGCTCATTTAACTTTTAAAAAATTTATTATTTTGATTTTATGTATATGTGTGTGTGTGTGTGTGTGTGTGTGTGTGTGTGTGTGTGTGTGCTTGAGTATATGTATGTGTGCATTGTGAGTGCAGGTGATTTCAGAGGCCAGAAAAAGGCATCAGGTCTCATGGAACTAGAGACAGCAGGCAATTGTGAGGCACATGAGGTGGGTGCTGGAAACTGAACTCAGGTCCTCTGCAAGGGCAGCACGTGTTCTTAACCTCAGAGCCATCTCTCCAGCTCTAATTTGTCCATTCCTATGTCTGCTTTACTTAACAATGTTCTGTCAGAGTAGTTTACTACATTTTTCAAGATTCTAATCCACCAAGGTGGCACTGATGTAGCTTTTCCCTAGATGATTACTGCAGCACTGCTTTGTTTATAAGCATGGCCTTACTGCATTACCCATGACTTTTCATGTACTTTACAGATAATAGTTTTCTTAGATTTCTCTTTTCCCAGATAGAATACGCATTTATCAAGGGAAACATAACACTTAGTACTTTTTGTTGTTGTTCTTTGCCCCCCCACCCCCATATGGCCTAAACCTTCTTAGGCAGGCAGAATTCCTGAAGTTTTACTGTGTCTTAGGCTCTCATTCCTTCTAATATAAAAGCTTGGGGCTCTAACTTAACATTTTAGGAAAAGAGCCTGATCCTTTGAGCTGCCTATATAGCAACCCACGTTAAGTTGTAAAATAAAGCAATAAACATGTAGAATGTTCCCTCAGCTGCCATTCAGTCCCCAGCCAAATTATTCTTCAATTGCTTTCATCAATTCATTGAGCAATAGTCCTATTTCATGATAACCTTTCTCCTGTTTCTTAACTGGCCCCTTTAACTTTCTCTCTCTTGCCCAATCTAAAACACAAGATTCAGCAAGGAACATGGTTCCCAGAAATTCACTCTCTTTTAGCAATTTTCTCTTGTTTTGGTAACTGTAGGCCTTAACATTAAATATTTGTAGAGAAAATTCAGGCTCAAATATTCATCTTTGTCTGATAAAACAAGACATAAGGACCATTCCCACAGAAATAAAATTGTTTAAAAAGACTAATTCTTGAGCAATTTGATAGCCAATGAATGAATCATCTTTTACATGTCAAAAAAAAAAAAAAAGGCAAGAAAGAGCTATATGCCATCTCAAATGAAAACTAGAAGTAAAAGATACTGCACTGGGATTTGAATTTTGTGTGTATTTATGTTTGGACAGCGTAGAATTTGCTTCAAAACATCCATTTCTTCATCAAGCTTTTAGGGAAAGAATGAACCCTTAATACTGTAGGCATCTACTGTATGTATGTAGTGAATTCCCTAGCATCATTGCCAAGGATGCACAGAGGATAGAGGAAGTGGCTCAGCAGGTAAGGGGTCTTGACACCAAGCCTGACTACCTGAGTTCAATCCCTGGGAACCACATGGTGGAAGGTGAGAAATGAAAAGTTGTCTTCTTGACCTCCATGGTATACAGGTGCCCAGGCACATACACATATACACACAAAATATACAAGAAAAAAAGTTAAAGAGAGAAAAAAAGAGGGGAGTTAGATGCCCTCCTTGAAAAAAGCCCCTCACATCATATTCTGTGATCTGTGATTTTAGGTGAGACACTCAGCAGAGGAGGACATATTCAAGGAAAGCAGTAGTTTCCTAATGCCTGGCAATGCCGGAAGAGTACATTCAGATACATTCTGTGAAGACATCTGTTTCTAACCAAGCATGGCCTCTAGTACCAAACAGATGAACTTATTACAGATAACAAAATCTCGAAACGAAGTTTATCAGATTTATCATTTTTATAATCATGTGATAAGAGTCCGTGGAAATCACCCAAGTCGTGCATCATCATATAGCAACTCCAGTTCCAAAGAATACTGACTTACTTTGGGTGACAGCACTCTACCGTTTTTAAGTTTTTCATCTACACTGGTCCTTTGTCTCTGGAGCTGATCCCTTTCTTTTTGGAGAGCTTGAACTTGTTCTAAAATCTGTATTTTCTCATCAGTTGTGCTGCTTTCAAGCTGCAAACTTTTTTTAGACAACTCGTGGTCCAACAAGTTCAGACGAGCTGATATTTTCAAACTGTCTGTGTTTAAGGCCTAAGAAGACACAACCCATCAGACAGGGAAAAAAAGTTACAAGAAATCCAGACAGCTTACAAAATAGGAAAGTCATAGAGAAAATAACTAAATGATTGTATTTTTACCTATTATTTTTTTAAATGGGATTTTTTTTTGTTTCATGTGACAGGCAGCTTTTTTTTTTTTTTTTTTGAGACAGGGTCTCCCCGTAGCCTCAGCTGTCCTAGATTCACCATGGAGACCAAGTTGGCCTCAAACTCAGAGATCTGTCTGCCTCTGCCTCCCAAGTGCTGGGATTAAAGGCATGCGCCACCATGCCCGGCCTCCAATGGGCTTTTTAAAGGAGCTCATTATCTAAAATATTAAATTTAATGCTTCTTTTGCAAGTACATTGATTTAAAATATGAAGCTCCTACCAAAATTCCTTGGCTGGGTTTTGAGAGACAGTCTTTCTCCTTTCTACTACTTTATTCCTTAGCCTGTTACATGGTAGGATTGTTATAATTTCTTAGAGATTGATATTTGGTGTGCCTAAACATACTAATTTTTTATTTCTACTTCATTCTGGTCAGAAATATGAATATGGTCCGATTATGGAGATGTTCATTACAACTTTAATTATATACTTCCATGTTATTGCTAATGTATATAAAACTATCATAAATATTATCATTTTACTAATAAAAATCAGAACAATTCCCTAGAATGCGTCTCCTTAAACCCTTTCAGTTTCCTCTAACATTTTTGTTCAAATGTCTAAATTACCCATTTTAGCCTGCATACTACAGGAGTGACAACCTAGCACTCACACCTCCCCTTCTCCACGTGCCCCTCCCCTTCTATTCCCCAATATAAGTTGTATTACAGGTTTTGGTTATGAATTTGCAACTATTACTCATAACTGGTATAAGCAATATAAAAGATCAAACTTTCATCATCTGATCAAACTTCTCAGGAAATCTTTTCTGTTCTTTAATTACATTTATTCATTCATTCATTCATTCATTGTGTGCCACAGCACAAGTACAAAAGTCAGAGGACAACATACCCAAGTCAGTTCTCTCCTTTGCTCATGTGGGCTCTGGGGGTCAAACTCAGGCTGTCAAATTGGTGGAAGGCACCCTTACCACTGAGCCATCTCACTGGCCCCTCAACAATTTCTTTCTTAAAACATACTGTCTGGACAGTAACCCAGCATAGAACTGGGAAACCCCAATGTTAGCTGTAGGAATATTGGCAACTGATTGCTGCTAGATGAGGAAGAGCTGATCTTCCTAAAACAAGGAACTCTAGATAGGCTGACTTAGCAGATGGACAAGCACTGGAGAATGCTGGAGGCACCAATGACACAGTGGACAGTAACAGGGGTGACAGAGCATATGGGCTCAAGTGGTGTGTGGGGGGTATGGGATGGTACCATTTGGGATGTGGGTATATGGATGAATAAGATTGTTTGGGATGTTCTGTATGAAATACACACACAAAAAAGTCAATACAAAATTATATATATATATATATCTGGAGCCTCCATCTCCACACTCCTGCTTAAACTGGACCATTTATCCTGGGACTTCATTGTGAATTTCCATGTTGGATAACATCAAGACAGCTTGAATCCTCCTTTTTCATAGTTTAAGGTCTTACCTTTGTGGAACACATGCTCTAGTAGCTTTCTGAGACAGGTCTGATGAGTAATTTACTTACTTGAAAACCTCCACCTTCTACCTTCACATCTATTCAGAGTTGGGCAGAATAGAACATTATTGACTGGAAATAATTTTCCTTTTAAGTTTGAAGACTGCTTCATATCTTTTAGCGTCTAATGAAGAAAGTCCCTAAGTCTAGTGCCATTCCGATTCCTTAGATTGACAAGTGACTAGGTTTTTCTATGTTGAGGTATTCAAAATTTGTTTTTCCTCAATTCACCTAAACCTTCACAATCTATTCCTTCAGGCACTCGTTTCGCTAGGTCCTTGACTAGCTTTTTTAGTCTAGAATCTTCTATCATCAGCTTCCCAACAACGCATTCTGTTTGATTATCTCTTCTAGTTTTTTCCCCCTTATTGTTTGTTTTTGGATTTCCTATTACTTAAACGATTCCTAAATTTAGATAAATCTAACCTTACCTTCTTCTGAGCTATTTCAGCTTTTTCCTTTTACCCTTTTCATTCTTAATAGTTCTTTCGTGTTTTGAATAACCTGTAGTTCTTGTTTTACAGCGTCATGTTTTTTACTACATTTAAGATGTGAAAGTATTTCCTGAGTTTTTTTCAGCTTCTATATTAGAAATAGAAATCCTTTTCCCCATCAGTCCTAGTATCTACCTTTTAAATTTTTTTTATTTATTTACTTTTATTTTGTGTGTATGAGTGTTTGCCTGCATGTATGTAAGTGCAATGCCACCGAGGCCAGAAGAAGATGTGGGATCCTCTGGAATTGGAGTTGTGGGCAGTTGTTAGCCACATGTGGGTGCTGGAAACTGAAGCCGAGTCTTCTGCAAGAGCAGCAAGTGCTCTTAACCCCTGAGCCATGTCTCCAGGCCCCTAGTATCTGCCTTTAATTTTCTCATTTAAAAATGCAGTACTGGGTTGGAGAGATGGCTCAGTGGGTAAAATGCTTGCGATACAAGCCTGACAACTTGAGTTTGGATCCCCAGGACCCAAGTACTGGATACAGTAGTGCACATATCTGTAATCCCAGTGCACCCCTATAGGGAGATGGGAGGCAGACATAGAAAAATTGCTAGAAGCTCTCGGCCAGGTGGCCTGGTTTTCCCAACTATAAATAAACAAGACAGACCCTATTTGAAACAAAGCATAAGGCAAGAACTGACACCAACATTGGTCTCTGACTTCCACATGCACACACACACACACACACACACACACACACACACACACGAGTCAGGCATTTAAAAGCTGATAAACAGCTGAGGATAATGGCACATTACGGTAATCCAAACACTCCCAAGACATACGAGGCTGAGGCAGGAGGACCTCAAGTTCCAGGACAACCTGGGCTACACAGTATGGCCTTATCTCTAAACAAACAAATGAGCAAAACCAAACAAAAACTGTAAGATGTGTGGTAATAGGGTACATATGGGATCCCAAATCTATGTATTTTTACCTTTGTTTGTTTTTTGGTTTTGAGGCAGGATCTCACTATGTAGCCCCAGCTAACCTGGAACTCACTTTGTAGACTATCCCAGGCTGGCTTCAATCTCACAGAGATCCACCTGTTTCTGCCTCTGCTGCCCAAATGCTGGGATTAAAGGTGTGTACATATTTCATTTCTCTTGAGTATATACCGAAAGAACTGCTGGGTAACATACTCTCTGTATAGTTAACCTTTAGAAGAACTGCAAGATGTCCAAACCACCTGTACCATATCACAAGCCCTCCAGCAGTGGATGAAGGCTTCAGTTTTCCCACCTCCGCAACACTTCTTATTATCTGTTTTTTCTAATTATAGCCATGTTAGTGAGTGGTATCTCATTTGAGTTTTTGCTTTGTAATAGTTTGATGGCTAACATGATCATTTTTCTAAACTATGTATTTATTTAATTTTTTAGACCTCCTCCCCTATCTGCACCCCTACCAAAGCTCCCTGACCGGATTTCATTTCTGTCATATATGTTAAAGCCTATCAAGTCACGTTTATGTCCCCAGATGTCCCTCAGTGTGAGTTCTCAGTGTGATAGGAGCCTATCTAGGGTTACTCCCTAAAGAAAATCAACTCTCCCTCACCTGGCAGTGATCACCTATCAACAGTTCCTCAGCTAAGGTTGGGGCTTCTTTCCTAAGGTCTATGCTGGATTTTTGAGATGATCATCTTTTCATGTGGTTTTTGGCCACTTTTATTATTTTATTTATTTACTTATTTATTTTTATTTTATGTGTATGAACGTTAATGCCTGCATATGTGTAAGTGCACCTGTGTCGTGCAGTGCCCTCGGAAGACAGAAGAGGTTGTTGGATCCCCTGGAACTGGAGTTATGGACCGTTGTCAGCTGCCATATGGGGCTGGTATTAGAACCCCGGTCTTCTGCAAGACAGCCAGTGCTCTTAACCACTAAGCTATCTCTCCAGACCCATTGTTTATTTTTTTTTAATTAGGTCATCTTTATTTTTGGTTTTTTTGAGACAAGGTCTTACTATGTAATCCAGAACTGTAGATCTTCCTTCTTCAACCTCCTAAATTCTGGGATTATAAGCAGGTTATCTTTTTATTATCAAGTTTTAAGACTTTTAAAAATATTCTCAGTTCCTTATCATATATAGGGTTTGCAGATTTACAAGTATTTCCCCGATTTTGTAAGCTTTTTACTTTCTTGACTGTGTCTTTTAAATCACAAATATTTTTAAGATTAAGTCTAATTTATTTATTTTTATTGCTGTTTTAGGTATAATAGGCAAAAAATCATTACTTAAAAGGTCACAAAGGGGGCTGGAGCACTTGTTGCTCCTGCAGAAGACCCAAGTTTGGTTCCCAGCATCCACACTGAGTAGCTCAAAACTACCTGAAACTTCAGCTCCAGAGGATCAGAAGTCCTCTTCTGGTCTCTGTGGGTTATATGTGTGTATACGTACATACATACATACAGACAGACAGACACACACACACACACACACACAAATAAATAAATAAATAAAAATAAATCTTTAAAAAGAGAGTAGTCACAAAGACTTATGCCTATGTGCTCTTCTAAAAGTTTTACAATTTTAGCTTTTTTCTTATTTTATTTATTATTTTTATTTTATGTGTATGTGCCTGCATGTGTGTAAGTGCACCTGTGTCGTGCAATGCTCTCAGAGGTCAGAAGAGGGCATTGGATCCTCTGGAACTGGAGTTACAGATAGCTGTTAGCCACAATGTGGGTGCTGGGAATTGAACCAGGGTCCTCAGGAAGAACAAGTGCGCTTAACTGCTGGGCCATCTCTCCAGCGCCTACAATTTTAGCTCTCACTTGTAGGTGTATGATACATTTTAATTTTAATTTTTTGCTTTGTTGTTTG